GAGGTGCCCAGATGAGGCCCAGCTGTGAAGTAATGCAAGCTGCTGTGGGGCCTTGGGCCTTCTCTTGGAAGTTCTGGGTCTGTCTGGCCCAGCTGCAGTTTGTTAGGTAATTTTCAGATTGCAAAGGGCCAGGGCATTCATATGCAAAAGCCTCTGCTCACAGCTTGGGTGGGGCGGGGTCTCAGGGAATCAACAGGGCGGAGCAAACAGCTATAGTTGATCCTCAGCCCTGCCCTAAGAGATCCCGCGTCTCAGTGTCCCCGTAATCGCTGCAAGTTCCTCTGAGAGAAAGCCGCCCTCGAGTTCTGAGTTCTGCCCACTGCCAGACAGTCAGTTTCTCCCTGTATGAATCTGGGTCCCCAGAGACTCACCCAGAACTGAAGTTCAGAGCAGTCGGGAGCCTGTGACTCCCTCCCAATTGAAAAAGACAATTGCATCCTCAGTTGCCAGCCCTTTCCACGTGCGCCTCCATACTTCTGCACTTTACTTCCGCACCTCCTCTGAGTCTCATTGTGCTTTTCTCTTTGCTTCTAGTTGTAGAATTTCCACTCAGCCAGCCTTCCTGTAGTTCTGGATGATGTCCGTTTTGTCTTTTAGTTGTATTTTTGAAGTTGTTGTGGGAGGCAGCAATTTCCAGTGTTTACCTATGCCGCCATCTTGGTTTTTCTCCTCTTTTGGTTACTATTTGAATGGAATATTTTTCTGTTCTTTTACTGTCAATCTATGTGTCTCATTTGATATAAAGTCTCCTGTCTGCATTTTTGTTTTGAATAGTTTCCATTAATGTCTTTGAATTCACTAATCTTTTCTTCTTCAGTGACTAATTTGCTGTTAAATTTTTTATCTTACAAACTGTATTTTTCATCTCTAGAAATCTGAATTGGGTTTTTTTCCCCTAGCTTCCATGTCTCTTATCATGCTCATGTTCTTCTCTACTTTCCTGAACATATGGAATATACACATACATACATACATACCTATCTTTTAACACTTTGTTTACTAATTCTGTCACTTGTTATTTCTGGATATGTTTCCATTCTGTGATTTTTCCCCTTTTTATGGGTATTATCTGACTTTGCATGCCTGGTAATTTTTGATTGCCTGCCAGACATTGTGAATTTTGCTTTGGGGTGGTGGACTTCTTTGTATTCCCTTAAGTATGGTGAGGCTTTTTCTGAAATAAACGTAAGTAACTTGAAATAATTTGATCTGTTCAAGACTTGCTTTTAAGTTTGTTAGGCTGCCCAGTGCAGCTGTTAGTCTAGTGTTAATTTGGTTCCATTACTGTGGACTCTGTTCAATGCTTATTATGTTAAGAGGCCTCTCCAAACTGACTGGTGGGGATATAAACTACTCCCTGCCCCGTGTGAGCTCTAGGGATTGTCCTGCCAGCTCCTGTCCACTGGCTCTTTCCATAGCTCCAGGAGTTTGCTCACAGTGACTCATGAGGAAGTCCCTGTAGATCTTGAGAGCTGTGTGAAGCTCTTTACACTCTAGTACTCTGCCCTACAAAATAACAGCCATTTCAGCCTCCTCAAACTCTGAACTTGGTTTCTTCAACTGAGCAAGACCTCCAGGCTCTGTGTGGGTTTTCCTTCCCTATACTGCAGCCTGGAAATTCTCTCTCGACAGTGAACTGCAATCAGAGGGCCGATGTCTTTTGTTTCCCTTCTTTTAGGGATTCTTATCTGCACTAACTGTTTCCAATATCTGAAAACTGTTGTTTTATATATTTTGTCTGGTTTTCTGGCAGGAGGCAAGAGGGTAAATCCAGTCCCTGTTACACCTTATTTATAGCTGGAGACAGCAATCTTTTTTTATAATATTTAAAAATTACTTTCTTAAATTTACTAGTAGTTTTACAATTATGTAAAATGTAAAGCTCCAAAGTTAAAACAAGGTATATGCAGAAAAGTCTATGATCTATCTCTTTGCCTTCCTCCACACACCTAGGTAACCATTTTTTAGTTTTTCCTTTTGATTTCCATTACAATTTTTATTATTAATATAAGCAAGTATGTATATCTACTCTAATTCCTTCCCTCTTCTTAGATAATTGGTAGCATTCTATACACTTTTCTTTACCTTGTTTTACTTAGTAATACACCCTAAATATTACTGCATAGGAGAATAGAGAGATAGTTCTCACTCCTTTTTACAACTATATAGAATGTAATATTTTACAAAAGCCATTACATTTCAAGTCCATCTTTTTCATTTGTAACTTATAGAAGGGAATTAACACTATAAAAACATCATCACTGACAGTTTCCAGGTTTTTACTTACGCCATGCTGAAAGAGGGCTTTGCATCTTGATCAGACAGAGAAGCAACGGTATGCTGAGGAAATCCTTCATAGAAAAAATGTATTACTTCCTTTTTCCAAGCAAATAATAAAATTCTAGGACCAGAAACTAAAAATGTTCCTACCACAAAGCCCACAAAGTTATACAAAAGTTCTCTTTCCTGCCTTTAGGTATGTTTAATATAGCGTGGTCAAACTGACTGTAATTCCAGGTTACAAGAAAAATAAAAGTGGAGGAAATGGGGGAAAGATCTGTCCACACATATGACCTCAGATTCTCAAGTTCATATCTATATTTTCTAATTTAATAACAACACATATTGCTTTTTAAGAAGAAAATGTAATTTTTAAATAGTTACTGATACAATAGAGGAATCTATTGCTTGATCTACTTTCACTTTATATAAAAATATATGTCCCTGTTTAAAATTTTGGAATATCCAAACACATGTAATGTGCTTTTCACATATAGTTTTCAATTTGAAGACAAATGCAAGAAAAACATAAACCATAAACAAAAAGATATTTTATTACATAAAAATGTTAAATATATGTACATATCAAAACAATGACCAACTGAAAAAATATTTACATCAGGTGATAGAAAATGGGTTGATATTCCTAAATGGCTTTAACAAATTAATTTGAAGAATAAATTATTATAAGATTAAACAATAACTTTAAAATGGACTACGGAAATGTATCATATCAAAAAAGATTAGCCAAGGGACACCCGGGACTTATTTAAACTCTGTTGCAGTGCAATAAACCTGGCCTGGTGCCCCCACTGACCAAAAAAAAAAAAAAAAGATTAGCCAACATACTATCTAAAATGTGTTGAGTGTTGCCCAGTCGGTGTGGCTCAGTGGCTGAGTGTCAGCCCATGAATGAGGAGGACACATGCCGGGGTTTTAGGCTTGCTCCCCAGTAGGGGGTGTGCAGGAAGCAGCTGATCGATGATTCTCTCTTACCACTGATGTTTCTATCTCTCTATCTCTCTCCCTTCCTCTCTCTAAAATCAATAAAGATATATAAAATGTATTGGGTGTTTATGGCAACCATTATTCTAAATGCTTCATCTGCATTAACTCAATCCTAGCAATACACAAGATAGACACTAATCTCATTTTACAGATGAGGAAATAGGAAAGAGCTCTTGACCAGCACTATAAATGCCACAAAACAAGGCAGAAAAGCATTCCATTTCACTTACAGGTAAAAAAAAATGCATATTAAGCAGGAGATTCTTCTTATATTTAAAAAGTTGTATCTTTTTAAGTATAAATGTAATGAATGATTATAAAATTTTTAGAAAATAAAGGAAAACAAAAAAATTTTTACATGATACAAAACCCATCATTCTGTCTCCTGAAAAAAATCACATTGAGCAATTTGATGTAATTTCCTACAACCTTCTGTATCTTTTCAATTTGTATTACACAGCTTTGATCAAACAGTACTGAGTAATACAAGTTTTGTAGCTTATTTGTTAAATTTCCTGGTATAAGGATTTTTCTATAAAAACAGTGTCTTTAAACCTTTCGCGCTGTAACAATAAAAACCAGTAGTGTTCTCTGAGTGATAGGACTACAAATGGTTTTAATTTTCCTTTTATATCTCTGTATTTTCCAAAATTGCTTCACCAGCATAATTTTCTCTAACTATAAAACATATAAGTTTAAAAAATCTTAAATGTTAAAATAACTTGTGCAAATAAAAATAGAAAGTCTAGTTTAACCCAAAAATATATATATGTTAAATGTCTATTTTAAAATAAACACTTACCCATACGAATCAGTGAGCACTCAGAACTTGAGCTAGCAGGAGGAGGACTAACATGATGTGTTAGCAATTCTTTGTAATGGCTTTCATCTAAAATAACATGGTATGTGCCTAACAAGAAAAAAAGCAAAATAAAATAAAATCTGCTTTCCAGAGAGAATAATGAATTATATAATTTCTATGTATTTCTATAAAAACATTTAATTATCATTTTTCAAAAATCTTATTTAAATAATATCTTTACTTGTCTTCTCTAGGAATAATTATAATTACAATTTAATTAAAGCCAAGTTATAAGATCTTTACAAAGTATTACATCTAATGAAATTTCTAGCTTTTCAAGAGTATACTGCCTCTGCACACTGACATAATTTCTGAAAATTCCTTGCATTTTGAGATATCAACAGAATCAATGATATATTTAAGATGACTACCCATATTTTGGACTTCAGGACATGAACTCTTTAATTAAAGCTTAAAAACAGGCTAAAACACCCTAATTTAATTAATAGCTTGTTACTTCTTACATAGTAATTATGAGTAAATATTGAAGATTCTAAATATATACCACCAGTTTCACGAGCAAGTACAGTGCAAACCCGAACTTCTGCAGACAATCCAATAACAGACACTCTAATTTTAGCTGTCTTTAGGGTCTTCATAAAATCCAAGGAAATGGATGGTTTGGGGGGAAGAAAAAAAGAGCATTAAACAATTAATGTTTGAAAAATAAACAGAATGTTCTGAAAACTTGTAAAACTTACAAGAATTAATTTACAGATTACAAAATCTATGTATATAAAAGCCTAAGCGACTGGCCAACCAGCCAACTGTTTGACCGGCTGACCAATAGCTATGATGCGCACAGACCAAAAGGGGCAGATGTTCAACACAAGAGTGGAAACCACTACAGAATTTTCTTTAGAGTTGTAATTTTGGTTGTGATTATAAAATTACTGTATCTACCTTGATTAGGTCATAGATATTAGATGGATCACAAGTTGTGAGGCTGCTAAAGATGATTAGGACTTCTCTACTTGTATGCCCAGGCATGTGTCTAAAAAAGACAAAATACAATCCAATTAGGTACAACAAATTACAATAATATAGTTTACCCAAAAAGGACAGTATACATGGTTTATAAATTTAGACTACAGAATATTTCATTTGTTTCAACACTGCAAAGAAAGGAATTGAAAATTCTTGTAAGTTTTAGGGATAGAGAGATAAACAAGACTGACAAAGGTTCTTGACATCATTAATCTTACATTCCAGTAGATTTGTTTCATACGAAATCTAAAGGGTACATTGGAAAGTACAATAATACCTTATGGGTCAATTTTAGGATGTATACATGTGGCTTGACAACAGTAATGTACTTCTTTTTTAAAGTTCAGGGTGATTCAGAGTCATAATAAGCATAAACATTAATTTTTGTGTACCATTTATTGATTTTTTTTTTTTTTTTACAGAGAGTAAAGGAGAGAGATAGTTAGAAACATCGATCAGCTGCCTCCTGCACACCTCCCACTGGGGATGTGCCCGCAACCAAGGTACATGCCCCTGACTGGAATCGAACTTGGGACCTTTCAGTCTGCAGGCTGACGCTCTATCCACTGAGCCAAACTGGTTAGGGCCTTGTGTACCGTTTAATTAAATGATGGCTTATGGACTTTTAAGATGTGATAAGCAGTTATCCCCTATACTAAATAGAGATTTCTACGCTTTTAGGAGCAATTTTATCAGTTATTTATAGCCAACCTGCTTATATCTTCCTTATTAGGCTCTTAGCTTTCACTTGTGGATGTTGCTTTGGTGCCTACCTTTATTACACATATTACCTTCTCATCTACTTTGAAACTAGAAAAATATCTATTATATAAAGGTATAAAAACCTGAGTCAGGACAAATTAGCCAGGGACAAAATATATGAGCTTTAACTATACTGAATACTTCCTCTTGGGTCTAAGTTATATTCCATATAGTTGAACTTGTTGGAAAAGAGTGCTATTAATTTACAGATTACAAAATCTATGTATATAAAAGCCTAAGCGACTGGCCAACCAGCCAACTGTTTGACCGGCCGACCGATAGCTATGATGCGCACTGACCACCAGGGGCAGATGTTCAACACAAGAGTGTAAACCACAGGCATGGACACATGAACAGACTGATGAATCTCAGAGGGAAGGGGGGAGGGAGGAGGGCGAGGAGAGATTAACCAAAGATCTTATATGCATACTAGAGGCCCGGTGCATGGATTTGTGCACCGGTGGGGTTTCTCGGCCTGGCCTGTGCCCTCTAGCAATCCGGGAACCCTCAGGGGATGTCGGAGAGCCAGTTTTGGCCTGATCCCCGCAGGCCAATCCGAGGGAGCCACTGGTGCACAAATCCATGCACCGGGCCTCTAGTAAGCTAATAAAAGGCAATAAATATACAATAAACTCAAATTATTATACCACATTAAATTCCATATACAATCAATTTTCAATAAAATAATTTTTCAACAAAACATTTCTTTTGTAATACTAACACTGCTACAATTTTAATTATATTTTTCTAAAACCTCACCAATTAAAATATAAAATAAAAATGAACACCACACTAAACATCATAAATGACATTACATATTTCTCTTAATAATGATTTCATTATAGCTGGGTGTATAGAGATACATATTAACATATTATCCTTTCAACAACTTATTCAAAACACTTTGAGATCAAATATGTAATAAATATAAAACACTAACTTTAGAGTTTGCATAGCCATGTTTAAGGAGTTATAAAGAGATGGCTCTCCATGGCAGGTCATATCTACAGCTTTCTTCAAAGATGTTATGTGTTTTCTAGGGTTTCCTAAAATAGAAATGGAATAATTTACTTTTATTTATTTTTAATTTTATTTATTTTAGTTACAGTTTACATTCAATATCATTTTACATTAGTTTCAGGTGCACAGCATGGTTGTTAGACAATCATATACTTTACAAAGTGTATCCCTTGTTAATTTACTTTTAATAAAACTCTATTTATACATTATAGAATTTATGTCTCTCCCAAAATTTACATATTTATGTTAAAGAACAGAATCCTTTCAATTCATGTCTTTAGTAACTTGCATTTTTATGAGAGATGTTTGTTATATAAAGTCTCACTTCACACTAAAAAAATATAGTAAGTCCACACTAACGTTGTCAATAGGTTCTAAAACTTTAAACGAAACAATGTAAAACGAGACTGCTTTTACTAATTGATATAAACAAGAGTTAAGCTCCTACAGCATCTCATCACTGCTATAATGAAATGATGCTGAACTTGATGTTATTCAAGGATCTGCTGTACAAATCGCTTTTTACCTATTAGCACACATTTTAAATATTAACCTAGAGTGCATAACTTTTTACTTTTACTATTTCCCTATTTCATCACTTTTAAGACTAACATATGTTCACATTTTACAATCTCTGAAATCATGCTGTGTCTTACATCACTGGCAGCCACACAGCATGTGGAAACCTATGAATGGCTATCGATGTGTTGTTGCTTCAACTGCATTATGTATATTGTTTGTGCTATTCACATCAAGTTTAACTGTGATTTAAAGTGTTTTTTAGAAAGGTTATTAATACAAAAGGTTAAATCTTTATGTAGAAAGACATGGCACAGAGCAGTGAGGTGTAAATTTGTACTAGTCAAGCAAAAATTCATTGATAGAAGAATGTCTGCAATTCTACATTTTTCTTCAGGGGAAAACCCCAAGAGCTTTAAAAAACCTAAGGAGGATTTCCACAAATATACAAAGCTGTGTTATCTTCTGTTATAGAAATAATATCTATGAAAAAATTCTCCATCTCAAGTCAAGTTATACAAATGAAGGGAGGACAAACTGCCAAATTCTTTAGAATGGTTGATCAACACATTAAATCATTAAGAAGCTGATATGAACAAGTCACATATCACTGATCTTGTGTCAAAGTTTAATTGCTAGTGTTTCCTTCTTTTTTTTTTAATTGTCAACAGAGGACATGCTTAGAGAGAGGAAAGAAGAGACAGAGAAAGAGGGAAACACTGATGTGAAAGAGAAACATCAATCAGTTGCCTTCCTTACATGCCCTCACTGGAGACCAAACCCACAACCCAAGTATATGCCCTGACCAGGAATTGAACTGGCAACCTTTCAGTGCACAGGATGACACTCAAACAATGGAGCCACTCCAGCTGGGCGGTGTTTTCTTCTTGATGGTACCTCAAAAATTATGAAATTTGAGAGTCAATGAAATATAGTACTTTTCAGACATTTTCTCCTATTTTAACAGTCTTCATATTAAGTAATGATAATCAAAACTGACTGCGTGGCCACTGTGGCTCAGTGATTGAGCATTGACCTATGAACCAGGAGGTCATGGTTCGATTCCTGGTCAGGCAGGGCACATGCCTGGGTTGCGTGTTCAATCCCCAGTGTGGGGCATGCAGGAGGCTACTGATCAATGATTCTCTCTCATCATTGATGTTTCTATCTCACCCTCTCTCTTCCTCTCTGAAATCAATAAAAATCTACACTAATAAAAGAGAAACATGGTAATTAGCGTACAACCGCTACCCTTTTCATTGGCTAATCAGTGAGTATATGCAAATTAACTGTCAGCCAAGATGGCGGCCGGCAGCCAGGCACTGAAGCGAACAGGGAGGCTTGCTTGCTGCAGACTCCAACGGTCCGCGCCTCACTTGCCGGCCTCTCATCTGCAACTCTAAGAAACTATATACTATGTTGCAAATAAGAAGCTAAACAAAACCCCAGAAAAGGGCTTCCATTCAGCCGGGCTCGGACCGCAACATTGTATCTATGTTTTCA